CCACGCCGGCGCAGGATGGGTGCGCACAGCCCCGGGGCAGGGGCTGCTCTCGCATCCGGCTGGGGGTGGTGGGGAGTTGGGCTTGGACCCGGCAAAACCCTCTGAGACCCAAGGGCTTGGACTCTTGACCCTTGGAGTCACCTCCACATGTGTCACCCAGTGCCAGACCCTTCTGCAGCTTTGGGGTGAGTGAGGCACTGATGAGGTGCCCTGGGATGGGCAAGGGGGGGTCCCCAAGGTGGGGGACACCCAGCACAGCTCACTGCCACCGCAGCCTGGAAAGCCTTCGCCTTCCAGCAACGCTGCGCTGGTGTGGGACACCGTGGGACACCCTGGCAGGGTGGAGGGAAATCTGGTCCCCACATGCTGGCTGGTGGGAGGGGGTGGTGTCCCGTGCTCAAGGAGATGCTTTGCCATGAGCAATCCCGTCCTGGCTGCAGGCAGCTGCATCCCCACCCTGCCCGCAACCCCCTCCGGCGGGAGGGCTTGGTGTGCGAGACACCCTCCACCCTACGTGCCACTCGAGGTGTCCCCATCGGGGATGTGGCAGCCCATCACCCCTCCTTAGGCCGCTGCCAGCAGTGATGGGAGCTTGGGGCTGCCGGCTCCCCCCGCCGAGCCACAGGCATCCCTGCGCCGTCCCGAGTGGTGGGGTCCTGCTCTTTCGCAAGGAGACATTTCCCTGCCTGCGATGTTCCCGCTCGTAATCCCTCCCCGTCCCTTCGCACCAAGCTCCTAACAAGGTCACGTTTCAGCAGAGGTTCCCAAGCCCTGATTCCAATTAAAACCTTTCATTTAGAGCCGGCCATGGCGCAGCCAGCTGGGTACAGCTCTTGCCGCGGGGCTCCCGGGGGACCCCCTGCTGAAGCGGGGTCATGGGAGGCTCCTGCAAAACCGGCTTTGGGCGCCACAGCCCTCTGCACGGGGCTGAGAGCGGGTGGCTCTTTTTGGAGCTGCTGCTTCCAAGGTGATGGAGAAGAGCATCTCCTGGCCCGGCTCCACCACGGGGGGTTGTATCCCAGAGGATTTACTATCCCAATGGAAGGAGCCCTGAGGGCTGGTGCCGCACAGCCGGCTGGCAGAGAGGGGCTACA